TTTTATGGTTACATTTTGTTGAAATATGATATATAGTATTTTCAACATCTGTTAGTAATGGGTTAACTTTGGCTGTTACTGCTCCATTGTCGTCTTCTTAAATGCTATTTTCTTTAATTGGTAGGAATATGGATAGAATTTTGTCGTGTTAGACAGTTGTCAGCACAACAGAGTAGTTTGTTTATCCAATTAAAGAAATCAACATATGCTTTTTCATTAACCTCATTCGAAGGCTCTTATATTGGTTTTATTATAATGAAGTTTTACTGAAATGAGTTCAGTTGGAGGAATGTTTAATAATTGGTATTATAGAGTGTTGGCTATAATAATTGGTACTACAAGGAAGTTTACTTAAGTTTTGTTGGAGTGGGTACAACTGAAGGAAATTTTATTAATTCCTAATTGTTGAAGGAAATTTCACTAATTGGCATAACAAAGTGCTAAAAATAATTGTCATTACAATGAGGTTTACTTAAGTTTCAGTTTCTACCAGCTCTAGCTTTCCTCCAAATCAGGGCAGCATCATCCCTCCAAGTGCTTCCTAATTTGCCTTCATTCCTCTGGGGTGGTTGCTCTTGCCGGTGTCGGGTTGCATTTCTCCTTGGCGCGACTCCAGCTCATTTGAATATGTTGCTTCCTGTGCTGCAGAGCTGATATTTTTCTTGTCCATTGGTTTCGGGGAAGGAGGTTTTGTTATCTTGCCTCTGCTTCCTCTCCCTGGTTGTCTCCTTTTTGGTTTGTTTTGCTTTCTCCCTAGCCGTGTTCCGTTAGATCATTTCCCACTGTGTTGGTGCTTTTCCAGTACTGTCTCATTTCTGCATTTGTATCCTTTGTTTTTCCAGTCTTTGTACTGGTGTTTCCTTAAAATGGGTTCCGCTGAAGGAAAGTTTATTAATTTCCAACTATTGATGGAAAGTTGTCTATTTGGCATCACAAAGTGCTACCTGTTGAGTTTGTTGAATGACGTTATAGGTGAATGCATTATAAAAGCAGATGATATTTCTCCTAAAATCATTGGATTCAGGTGCACCAGCAAAGACCTTCAATAACATAAGACATCTATAGGTGCAAAGTCTTATGTTTGGATATAACAAAAAAATATTATAACTAAGCTTATCGGGCTAATCAATGAAATCTTCCTCAATAATATTACAAGTAATCTATAATAACTCAGCATATACGCCTTAACCCTCTTGGTGAAATGAAACCAGTGGATTCTCTTACAATGTTGGGACCTATGTTAGCTACGTAGCTTAGCTATGGCTTAGTTTTCAATTCTTGAGCATCTATACTATAATTAATTCTCTTCCCTTAAGAATTGTAGCTATATCTAAATTTCAATTAGTTGGTACCTCTTGTGCCTTTTAGTACTATAAGTTCATTTGTTTACCTATTAGATGTTTGAGTGTTGTCCTCCTTTAGGAACATAAATTCATGATCCATAAAAAAACTCGATCTAGGATCATTATGCCTAGAAATTACAAGTAATTTCTAGTTGTCTATTAGGATAATCTCACACTTTGATATTGCAAGCAAGTATACATGTTTATACCTGTTTGATTCCTGTTTAAGTGTTATTCATAATTACCTTTCAAGTTACATAGAAAAGGCTACCCTGCAATCAATTTCCTTCAGCAAGCTGCCTTACCTGAGGATAAACAAACTGTAACACTTAATCTGTGTAGTTGGAAATTTTTATGTTCGACATTTTCCCACCCAATTACAGGTTGAGGGTTACAGATGGACTTACATAGGTCAATATTCTCTGTGTATGACTTTAAGTTTCTTAGTGAATACTATCAATCAATTATCTTTTTAATGCCTGCTTGCCCTATTACCTCATCTATGAATTTGTTTGAATCTCCTAAACATTAAAATTTATAAGAGACCGTGAATTAGCTTGCACTATCATGTGAAGATATGTATTCAGGCCAAGGCTTTAAGCTAAGAGCAGGAATCAATTTTAGTCAATTTGTTTGAATCTCTTGAGCATTAATTTTTTTAGTGATTAGAGTCACCAATTAGCAATTGCAGTAATATATGTGTATATGTATCCCTGCCAAGGCTCTAAGTTAAGAGCATGAATGAACTTCAATTTCAAATTCAGTTTTGACTGAGATATAATGGATTCTAAAGAACTATATGTTCAAGGACTTGAGAATTTTTGAGGATAGGGAATCAACAACGGAAGTTGTTTGTTATAAGATCAGAATGCTCATATCAAGCTGGTTGATAGCAGCACAAAAGGTCGACAGAAATGTTGTTAAAGGTTGGAAATTGGAGATGCAGCGACAATTAATCTCCCCTTCACATTCTGAATACAAAACGTGATGACTAGGAGAAGAAGCAATGCTTCTCACTGTTGTGTTTGGCATTTCCTGAAGGAGTCAATCGCGAGCAACTAACATGAGGAGAATGGTCATGGTATGGGACAGGCTGAAGTGTATGCTGGCATGTACACTTTACTCGACGCCATGCATTTACCCTGCTAATAGCAAAAGAAAGCTATGTGATGGCAAGAGTAGGTCTACAATTAGAGATGGAAACCTCGCACTGTGATGCAGAACTGGTCAACCTTGCAACTAAAGAAGGAAGTATTGTTTTAAGTGCTTGGTTTTGGGGCTTTTTCTGTTTTTCAGTTTTGATGAGGCTACTGCTGCTATGGAAGATTTCTTCCTTTCAGAGGAGTACCAATGCTTTGTTTCTACTTTGCTGGCGTGGCTCCAAATTTGGATCCGTTGCTTGGCTTCACCATGAGGATGGTTATACAGAACTTTGTGATATTTTTTTCTTTTGCTATTTCAAAGGGGCTTCCCTGTGCTGTTGGTTTTTTTCATGTGATTTCCCTTTCTGTTATATCTTTTAACCTATCTTAAATTGATATTTAATAAAATTATTTAACCCTTACCAAAAGAAAAGTATACTCACCGTACATCAATTGTGTGTACAGGCTAATTAAATGTTTTTAGCTTTTATAATTTTGGAATTTAGAAACCAATATGTGTATTGAATTGGGCAATATAGTGCATTTATAAAGTATGAAATTCATGAGTGCATACATCATTTTTCTGTTGTTGATTTGATTTAACCTGAAACTTTGAAGGTGATGTTGCACTTGCAGCCCGCACTGTCAAGGGTTGGTGGGTTGTGCTATGGTAGCCCATCGGGTAGTCTTGCGATTCAATTCGTCTCCCTAATTATGATTTATGACTATCACAACATTTATGCATGGTGAGCCATCTAGCGAGTCATCTACTTAGGCATCACGCATACCAATCAGTTATGGGTGTTTAATTTTATGGTCATGGAAATTGAGCTTTTTATTGTTTTAATTGCCTCAAACACTTAGTACGTTTGCATTTTATTCTTGCAGGTCCAAGTTTTACACAAGTTAGTGCCAATCCATCTACTCAAACACTATGATTTGTTCCTCTCGGTGTGGGTATCCCAAGAATTTCTGTGTAAGAATCTTGGAATTTTAAAGATGATGGACTTTTTGAAGGAATGGAACAAAGATTTGACGATCGATGGCTAAAAAATTGGAATATGTTGAGAAAAAAAAAAACTAACTTAGTAACAAAACCCAAACATCTCTTCATTGGAATATTGTAATTAGCTTTCTTTAGTGATACTATGATAACACGAAACCAATATCGATGCGGTTCTACAATATTATGTCATCTTGATTCTGATCATCGCATGTATGCCATGAATTTCATGTTCCTTAGTTCTTTTCTTCTTTGTGTGGCATATGTAGCTAGGTATTAGGCATTTTGGCTTTTTTTCTGTAACCTTCAACCACCAATGTTGGATTTTTGTATTGCCTAGAATTTATATATACACAACGCTAAGTTACGATAATATTATCAATAAATCTACCTATGAACTAATTATCACCAATGTCAAAATCAACCGATAATAAAAATATTAATTTGAAATCATTAGTAAACTATTTAAAAGTGTCGAATTCATCTAAAAATATAAATGACTTGATTAACATAAAATAATAACAAATAAAACATAATTCATCCTACCAACGGGTCGGGTATAAGCTAGTTAGAAATTATGACCACAAAGTTAATCATGCATTCCAATATGTACTATGTTTTCCCAATATCTTCATAAATAGAAAAAATGTCCATCCTATTATTGTTTGAATAAATAATTATATATATATATATAAATAAAATAACCCTGTCAAGATAAGGATTTTTAAATGAAAGATTTTAAGTGACTTAGTTGTAAAGTATAGGCACTATAGGAAATTAAATGATTAAAATGTTATTTGATCAAATCAATATAAAAGGTAAAAATACACAAAATCGCTGCCTTACAGCTTTGAACCAAAGTTGTTTAGCGAAAAAGTTGTGCTTTGACGGATTTGACGGGTGCCAGCTTGTGTAGTGCAAATACATAAACCACAGAAGGGTAATCCGACCCAATCAATTCAATAACGACAATAGGCCATTCACTTAGTACATAATATATAGATATGATGATTCTCATAGTAGATTTCTATTTCATTGCTAAAGTTGGTTGTTACGAGATTGGAACAATGTTAATTTGGAAAATTTTGGAGTTGGGTATCAATTCTATTTTTACTAATCTTATTTTATTATTATTTTGGGATATTTGTAGTTATTATTATTAGTTGTCTACTAGGATTTAGATTGCTTTTTAGTATTCTTTTTAGGATTTAATTATTGCGTCCTTACTCCTTATAGAATAAGTTTCATATTTTTAGTAGGAACGAGAAAAGTTGGCATCGAGCTCAGGACGAAAAGGAGATAGATTTGAAGTTTTCCTTGCGCATAAATATGTACTCATTCTTTAGTTTGTCATGAAAAAATTGACACACAAAAATTGACACACAAATTATTCCAATCAACTGTGATTCAAGTTGTTGGAGGAGAGGTTTTGATGGTTTTTTATGCTTGCTTGGAGCAGGTGGCAGGTCATATCAATATTCTTGATCGAAGATCGATGGGGTCGTCCAAGCTATGGTGGCGTCTACGATCAAAACGCGGGTGGACATGGCCGAGATGATAGTGGCATTGGCGGCGGTACTGAGCAACCATGCTGCGCAGGTGGAAGTTGGTGGGCGCCTAGTCTATCAATGGAGTAGGGGCAAAAAACGACAATGTCTCTGTCAACGCTCAACCAAAGATGACAAGGGAGAGCGCAAATTTGACTTCCGCCGGAAAAATGAAGGTGCTAATGTTCGAGGAGGCATCATCACGGTAAAAAACACCTCGAGCCAACGGCGGGGCACTCAGCATAGCGAAGGGCACAAGCAAAGTGGCGGTGAGGTGGAGAATCGCGGGAGAGTCAACGTGGTGGCGATGATACCATGTGAGGTCTCTGGTCGTCATGGAAGAAGCATGCAGTCGTAGGACTAGAGTGCATTAATTATATATTATTTTTATTTTTATAAAATTTCTTACTTTATGGTCGGAATTTGGTTGAAATTAAATAATACATGGCAAGAAACGAAGGAATATATATTAGGAACACGAGAATGCATACTAGATTCATAACAATGCATGTAAAAAAAAAAAAACATAAGAATGCGCACCCATAAACACTAATATATACTAAAAATATCCTAAAGTATACCATAAACAACAAAATGCATATTAGAAATACTAGAATGGGTGGTTTTTTTTGGGTAAAAATGGATCTTATATCGTAGATCACAATTCATCTATCCTTTTGGTGCAAAAGCAATTCAAATTCGAGTTAAAACGTAAAATGTATGGCCCAATAAAAATAATTGAAAAGTAGTTATTTAGAAAGTATGAGATTAATATATACAGTTAAGTTAATATAAAGGCTCTTATTAGTGTTACCACCAATTAGCATTATGGGTATTATGGGGTTTCAGAGGATTAATCAATCAAGATCTTAGCTCCTAAAATTTTAGAGCGGCAAAACAGGTTTTGTGGCTGCTGACACGCTAAAACACAACACCAAACTGCGACCAAGTGTAATTGTAGTCTGGAAATGCAGAATAGTGGCAAGTTCTATTTATCAACTCGGAGTCTAGATCTACTGCCTAGTCCGTGATTATCTATTATCTAGCAAACTAAGTCGAGTGATTGTGATTTAAAGCAAAAACAGTAAGAAAGCAGGAAATGGTTCGAAGTTCTTAAGCAAGGGAAGAGTCACTCGGGAATGAGTCCCCCTAGCTCCTTAGTTAGGTCAAAGTTGTAATTACCTTTGGTTGATTTACTGTAGATTAAACTACGGAAGATCCGACAGTAGCTTGGAATCTCTTAAGCTGACCAAGCCCTCTCAGACAGACTAATCGGCAAGCGACTAACCTTCACTAGGATAAACTGCTGAGGCAATAAACACAGAACTCCACTATTGGAATTGGATTCCAGTACAAAGCAGTGAATCGACTAACTCTCGTATAATCGATTCACTACTACCGATTGAAGGAGCTCTAACAACCTAATCAGATTCTATCTATCTCGGGTTGCGTCATAAATCATGAAAAGTTGTTCAGGCTTCAATTGACTCAATCAAAACACTTCAATCGATTATAATCAAGCAGTATCACAAACCAAAAGTTATTACAATCAATATCCCTAACAAATGGAACTAGGGTTCTTCATACCCAAGTGAGAGAGTTTTCTACTTAGGAATGACAATGGGGCAGGTCCGGGCCGGGTATCTCGATACCCATACCCGCCCCCGTGGCAGGTCGGTTCCAAGTCGGGTAATTTATTATGGGACGGGGGTCGGGACAGGTCGACCCAATGGGTATGTAATTCATGTGAAAAACTTTAAAAATATTCATTATTTTCATTAAAATACCAAGAAATAAACCATAATATGACAAAATGTAGTTAAAGTATTGGAGAAATTGAGATTTTTACTTATTTACAACTATATTATAGCTAAAATATGAGGTAATATGAGGAAAGTTCTAAGTAATTTGACTAAGATCACATGTAGTTTAGGCAATAACGGGTCGAGAATGGGGCGGGTCAGGGCAGGTCGGGTCAACGAGAGGTACCCATGCCCGCCTCGCCTACGGGGCAGGTCGGACCCGCCCCAAAACAGGCCAAACAGGTTGGGTAAAACGGGTCAGGTCGAAATTGCCATTCCAAGTTCTACTCCATAGAGAGAGAGAGGGAAACAGAAAACAAAGCAGTCATACTCATAAAGATGGGAAGAATCTGCTCTGGGATGATGATCTTCACACCAAGGATGAAATCCAAACTTGATTGATGAAACCCAGCTCCAAAATCACCTCTAGGGTGTGTTCTTCGCACTTTCTCTCTCCAGGACTCTGTTTCTAGCTCTGAAAATCGAACTCCCTTCAAAAGACCCGAAATTGGGTTAAAACCCAGAATTTCCCGACTACACGGCCAGGCCACACGACCGTGTAGAATTTCCAGCTGCCCGTGTGGAAGTGCAAAACGCCGCATTTCACTTAAGTGGCTTCATGCACGCTGCACGGCCAGAACTGCACGGCCGTGTGAAATCTCGGCTTGCCCGTGTGAAGGTCTAGGTGATTTCCACACGGCCACAAGGGGTCCATTACACGGCCAGCGCGATTTGTCCACGCAAAAGGATTCCACATGGCCACGTCGCACGGTCGTGTGGTTTTTAGGTCTGGCCGTGTGGTTTCGCAGCTTCCTGTCAATTGTTCCAACTCCGTCCAATCGACCCTGAACTCGTGCCCGGACCTTCCTTCATGCACTACGACCTGAAATATCACAAACATAAACAACCTAGCGTGAAATCGGCCTAAAACATGAGAGATGAGACTTAAACGATAGAAGAATGGTGGACAAAAACATGTGTATATATCAAGTCATCAGCTGCGAGTGCTAGGGTTAAGGCTGATGTCGATGACAAAGCCAACCAAGACGACGACTGCTATGGTGAAACCACAAGATAGCTTGAATGGTAGCAGCATCCATGTAGAAATCTCATCTTCCCCCAACAACAGCAATACAAAGAAAGCTACTCAACAATACTGACGCAAAAACACATATGGAAACCGAGATGATCCCAGAAACGCAGCCTAGAGCTTCAGCCTGGCAAGGGGGTGGGGCAAAATCTGGTCAGTGAAGTAGTACAGAGGGACCACTGGTATGTAGCTCAGTCCGACACAGAGGATATCACACAGGTGGAGAAGGAATAGGATGATGTGTAGGAAGAGGAAGTCGGGATCCCAAGTGTCCATCAATTCCGTTCACGACTGCTGCAAAGATCTATTGGAGGAGATAATGGAGGTCTGCTCTTCTTGTGAAAGGGTTGGGACATTACATTCCATATATTCCTCTTGCTCGTCGTCTGAATAGCCATTGGGAAAAGCATGGGGAATTACAAATCCTTGACATGATAAATGGATGCTATCTTGTGCGATTTAGGCATCATGGTGACTATGATCTGGCGGTTGATAGCTGGCCATGGCTATTAGGGAATGCATATCTGATAGTCTTAATGTGGAACTCGGATGCAAAATCAACGATGGTTTGGGTTTAGCTTTCAGAACTACCTTTCAAGTTCATTAATAAAGAGGCTATTATGAAGATCACAAGCTTTATAGGTACTCCTTTTAAGGTGGATCTGGTAACAAAGTATGGGGATAGAGGAAAGTTTGCAAGGTTATGTTATGAGCTTTAATTAGTACGAAGCATGCTCTCACCTATCCTAACTCTTCCAAGTATAACAAAGCTAGGGACGTAGTAAAGTAGCTCGATCGTATTCCACGGGTCATGGTATCCTAGGCTACTTAGGTTGGATTGTTATCTAGTCTACCTATTACTTAGCAAGTGGACAATTGGCGATTAATGGACTAGAGAACGATAGGAGAGAAGAGGTACTTGGGGTGCTTCCCTTGCCCTAACCACTGGAGATAACATGCAAAGATTGGAAGGTCAATCTATGGCGACCGAGGTGCGGAGATTGCTAATCTAGGGATTCGCTTAATGGTCATGCAATCAATCCCACTCCTATACCGATCAACTAGCTCAATGTCACTCAGCTGGCTTCACATTGTAGGGATAAAACCTATATAATCTTAATGGGTTCACCCATCTGCACACTAGGCCATCGAGTCGGTGGTCACGCACTCGACACCCTAGCTTTACCTAGGTGGACGTCTAATAGGGAGGGGTAGGGGTGTCAGTTCGGGTCGGGTTCGGTTACCCGAACCGAAACCCGAAAAAACCCGAAAACCCAAAATCGAAAACCACTAAAACCGAACCCGAACCCGATAAGGACTTGCGGGTTTCGGTTACCCGAAACCCGAAAATTCATTATCGGGTTCGGGTTCGATTATAGCAAAACCGAAACACGAAAACCCGAACTCCTAAAAATACGGGCTGAGTTCTATTCATTGAAGGTTTTAGCCGGAACCCGAAAAACCGAAAAGCAAAACCGAACCCGAAACCAAAAAACCCGAAACCCGAAACAAACCCGAACCCGAAAAACCGAAAATGTATATAATCGGGTCGGTTTTGGGTAAAACCGAAAAACCGAACCCGAATGGACACCCCTAGGGAGGGGTATGGTCGCCTACTCCATCATACTAGAATTCTAGATCATTCATCTACCCTAAAATTCCAACAACTCAAATCCACTCCAATTCTTGCAATCCTAAGTGCTAGGCTACCACGAAAAGATAGATAAAGGCATAGAAACTCTAGTTAAAGTCAACTCATCCATAAATCACAAGAAGGAGAATGATAAATTCTCTACCACCTAATTGCAATTAGGGCAAATGTGATACAAAAAATCCCCTAAAGTATCTTGAGGGATTACCCCGTGAAGAGGGGGAGAAGAGCCATGCAAAGATGGAAAGAAATTATGAAAAATGGTCTTTAAGTGCTGGATATCCTCCTCCAAAGCTCTCGTCCACTTCTTCTCTTCCAAGCTTCTACTTCGCTTTATAACCTCTTGATAACGATGTAATTGCACATATTTGCGCCCTTAGTTCTTATCCGTTTGAGGGGCATAGTCGTGTATTTTTGGCCTATTTTACGGCGGGTTGTGCTATTTTGTCATATTTCAGGTCCCAGGCGTCAAAGGGAAGGCTAAGCACGAGTTTCGGGGCATTCGGAAGTCATTTCGTCGAGCTGGAGCCAAAACACGAGCACACCTAAAACAGAACACGACCGTGTTCTGTGGCCGTGCTTTTACTGCTGAGAGCTAATTCGAGTTTGGAAAACATGAGCTGATTACACGGGCAGGGCTGAGAATTTGCACGGCCGTGTCGACCAAAGCACGGCCGTGTCCACCCGAAAGCACGACCGGGTTTCTCCCAACACAATGGCCGTGTAATTAACCCTAGCCCAAACACGGGCGGGCTGAGGCATTACACGGCCGTGCCCTCGACCGTGCTTTGGCCACTGATGCCCTTTTAAGCAGA